AAGTAGCGGCAAGACAAGGCAGCAATGAGGCCCCTGGTCAAGTCAAAGAATAATGATAGAAATGAAGCATCCGAAAAACTCAGGGATACAGGTGAAGGTGGGAAAGTAGCATGGCTAGTGGAGGAAGCTTACTAGGAGACAGAGCGCCTCTTGCTCGAGCCATCGGCGGATACAGGCCCGCGCATGATCTAATTGGCTACGTCAGTGGTTCCCTTTGACGGCCTTGGGTCCCCAGGCAACAAAGGGCCCTGTAGGGCGGTGAGCCCCGCCGACTTTTTTTTCTGCCGGCAACCGCTATTATTTTCTTTTGGGAGGCGCATTTGGTCGGAGATAACCACTTCCATCGATCGCTTTTCACATTCTCGTGATCTCCCGACAGCTGTGCCTGTTATTTCGCAATGGAGCCCCCAGCCAAGAGGTCGCGCAAGTTGCTCGATGACGACAGCTCCAGCGACTCAGGAGACGAGTCCGGCGGAGTTCCTATCACCAATGAGGACATCACGTTCAAGATCAACGAAGAGTATGCGCGCCGCTTCGAATACAACAAGAAGAGAGAAGAGAAGCAGCAATGTAAGACTCCATACTTCTACAACCTGCATGTGAAGAGAAACTAAACTCTGTTCTACGATAGTGGAGTCCAAGTACGGAAAATCTGTCCTAGGCAAACGTCGTGATCGCGATGGTGAGGATGAGTCCGGCGACTCGGAGGATGATTCTACCTCTGAAGAAGAGGACGAGGATGGAGAATTGGCTACCGCCGCTCTGGATGCCGAGATTATGGCCACGCTGAACGCAATCCGATCAAAGGACCCTCGGGTGTATGATAGCAATGCCACTTTCTACACCGCAGCCGACGAGGAGGCGAAAACCGAAGGCTCTGGAAAGAAAGAAAAGCCTATGACTCTTCGTGATTATCATCGTGAGAATCTATTGAGTGGCGCCAACCTGGCAGATGAGGAAGCATCTGACGCGCCGAAGACCTACGCTCAGGAGCAGGAGGAATTGAAGGATGCGGTTGTCCGCGAAATGCACGCCGCTGCCGGTAAAGGTGATAAGGGTGAGGAGGACGACGAAGATGATTTCCTTGTTGCCAAATCGGCGCCTGAACCTCTTCCGGAGCCCAAGAAGGATGTCAACCTGGATGTTGAGAATGCGGACAAAGATCCGGAAACCTTCCTTTCAAACTTCATGTCGGCAAGAGCATGGATCCCTGCTGGTAGATCGGAACTTCAACCATTCGAGTCTGATGACGAAGAGGAGGATCAACGGGCCGAGGCATTCGAAGAGGCATACAACTTCCGCTTCGAAGACCCCAGCAAAATCAACGCTACTCTAATCACCCATTCTCGTGACCTGACCAACAAGCAGTCGGTTCGCAGAGAAGAAAAGAGCAGCCGGAAGAAACGCAGAGATGCGGAGAGACAGCAGATGGAAGAGGAGAAGAAGCAGCGCGAGACAGAAAAGAACCGCCTGCGGAAGCTCAAGATGGAAGAACTCCAAGAGAAGGTCAACCAAATCAAGGAGGTTGCAGGCCTTCGTGCAAATGAGCTGACTGACGAAGATTGGGTCAGCTTCTTGGACGCTGCCTGGGATGACAAGAACTGGGAGGAGGAAATGCAGAAACGTTTTGGTGAAGACTACTACGCGGAAGGTGATAAGGAAGGAAGCGGTGATGAGTCAGGGAAGAAGAAGCATCTGAAGAAGCCTACGTGGGATGATGATATTGATATCAAGGATCTCGTGCCCGACTTCGAGGAAGAGGAGAAGCCCGCTGTGGATGTCTCTGATGTCGAGATGGAGGATGATGAGGAGGGAAGTAACAAGAAGAGCAAGGCGCAGGAGAGACGAGACCAGAAGCGTGAAGCGCGCAAAGACCGCCTTCGCATTCAGGAGGCCGTGGATCGCAACTTGGACCTCGATATCAGCCTTCTTCCGGGTGCGACCAAGAAGAATTCTACTGGATTCCGCTACCGGGAGACATCGCCTCAGAGTTTTGGATTGACTGCACGGGATATCCTCATGGCCGACGACACCCATCTGAACCAGTTTGCGGGCTTGAAAAAGCTTGCATCGTTCCGTGACCCTGAGAAGAAGAGTCGGGATCAGCGGAAGCTGGGCAAGAAGGCCCGTCTAAGGCAATGGCGCAAGGATACCTTTGGTGACGAAGAAGGCCCCAGGATTTCCGAGGAGGCGCCACGGGCACCTACACCCGAGAAGGACAATGTCGGTAAGGTTGATATCCGTGAGGGTGAACCCAAGAAGAAGAGGAGAAAGAGAAACAAGAAGAACTGAACCTGGGGTGCTTCTTACTGTACATGCATCTGGGATTGTTATGATATACTAGACAGTGTTTTTCATTGTTCAATAACGGCGTATCGGTAATGAAAGCTGTCTACGTTGTTGGTAGATTAGCTGGTCAAAAGTTACAAATATATTTACCTACTGCATAGCAAAGAGTTTTTTGAGTCAAATGATCAGGTAGTCTTTGCACTAATACCATATTAGTGAAAATCCGGTAGACTACTACTCAGTAGTAGTACTCATGTTATCACTGTATGATAGGATATATTGCTGTGTATACCACCTCTGGTAAAATTCACTGAAGCTATATATTTTGTGATGATCCACCCAGCTACTACACACAAATCAGTCTACATAGAACTAAAAAACCAATGCAGTAGTGACTGGCCTTCATAATAGCAAACTAACCAATCATGAACACTCCAACAACATCAGCCCAACCAGCATCCTACGAATTGGCGTTTTAATTACACCTAAACCACACCCGAACAACCTACCGTTGCTGGCACAACGGCGCAGATGAGAAGTGGTATCCCCATGTTTCTTTTAGCGGGTGGGTCCCGGGTGAAAAGAGAACAGTTTGTCAGGTTTGCCCGCCCCGTCGAACAAACAAAAAATAGAATAGGAAAAACAAAATAAAAATTTTCAAAAAAAAAAGGAGGAAGGGAAAGAAAGAAGAAAAAAAAAAAAAAAAAAAAAAAAAAAAAGAAAGACAGAAAGAGGACCCTGGAGCTAGGAGAGAAAATGAAACTAGTCAACTTTCAAGCAGAAACAG